CAGTTATATGGAAACAAGTTCAACAATCTAGAGGAGATGGACAAATTCCTACAACTCTACAATCACCCAAAGCTAGATAAAGAAGAAATAGAACACCTAAACAGACCAATTACAATTAGCGAAATTGAAATGGTAATCAAAAACCTCCCCAAAAACAAAAGCCCAGGACCTGATGGATTTACAAATGAATTCTACCAAACATTCAGAGACGAATTAGTGCCTATCCTTCACAAACTCTTCCAAAAAATGAGAAGGAAGGGACAATACCAAACACGTTCTATGAAGCCAACATTACACTAATACCAAAACCGAACAAGGACAACACAAAAAAGGAAAACTACAGGCCAATCTCCCTAATGAACACTGATGCAAAAATCCTCAATAAAATTTTAGCCATCAGAATCCAACAATGTATCCATAAGATAATTCACCACGACCAAGTAGGATTCATTCCAGGGACACAAGGATGGTTTAACATCCGAAAATCAATCAACGTTATCCAACACATCAACAAAAGAAATATAAAAACCATATGATAATATCAATAGATGCTGAGAAAGCTTTCGACAAAGTGCAACACCCATTCATGATAAAAGCCCTGAAATTCTTGGGATACAAGGAACATACCTAACATCATAAAGGCAATCTATGACAAGCCAACAGCCAGTATCATTCTCAATGGTGAAAAGCTGAAAGCAATTCCATTAAGATCTGGAACAAGACAAGGATGTCCACTCTCACCACTGCTTTTCAATATAATACTGGAAGTCCTAGCCAGGGCAATAAGACAAGAGAAAGACATCCAAGGAATCCAAAATAGGAAAAGAAGAAGTCAAACTATCACTATTTGCAGACGATATGATATTATACATAGAGAACCCCAAAAACTCCACAGAAAAAGCTAATTCAACTCATCAATCAGTTCAGTAAAGTGGCAGGATACAAAATCAACACGCAAAAGTCAGTAGCCTTCCTATACACAAACAATAAATCTGAAGAAGAAGAAATCAAAAAAACCATCCCTTTCGTTATTGAAACAAAAAAAATCAAATATTTGGGAATAAATCTAACAAAAGAGGTAAAGGACCTATACAAAGAAAACTATAAAACACTGTTAAAAGAAATAGAAGAAGACACAAAGAAATGGAGAGACATCCCCTGCTCATGGATTGGAAGAATAAACATTATTAAAATGGCCATCCTTCCAAAAGCAATATACAGATTCAATGCTATTCCAATCAAAATTTCAATGTCATTCTTCAAAGAAATAGAACAATTATTGATGAAATTCATATGGAATCACAAAAAACCCCGAATAGCCAAAGCTCTCCTGAAAAAAAAAGAAGGGAATGGAGGCATCACACTCCCAGACTTCAAACTATACTACAAAGCCATAATCATCAAAACTGCATGGTATTGGAACAAGAACAGACATACAGACCAATGGAATCGAATAGAAAATCCAGAAATAAACCCACAGATTTATGGTCAACTAATCTTTGACAAAGGAGCAAAGACTATGCATTGGAGCAAAGAAAGTTTGTTCAATAAATGGTGCTGGGAAAACTGGGTCGCTACATGCAAAAGAATGAAGCTTGACCACTACCTCACACCATACACAAAAATCAACTCAAAATGGATTAAAGAATTAGACATAAGACCTGAAACCATAAAATACATAGAAGGAAATGTAGGCGAAACACTACGTGATTTGCACATCAAAGACATCTTTACAGACACATCACCCAAAGCAGTGATAGTGAAGGCGAAGATAAACAGCTGGGACTACATCAAATTAAAGAGCTTCTGCACAGCAAAAGAGACAATAACAAAAACAAAGAGAAACCCCACCAACTGGGAGAACATTTTTGCACCCAACACTAATGATAAAGGACTGATCACAAAAATCTGCAAAGAGCTGATGAGACTCAACAACAACAAAGAAAATAATCCAGTCAAAAAATGGGCAGAAGAGCTAAAAAGAAACTTCTCTGAAGAGGAAATGCAAATGGCCAACAGGCATATGAAAAAATGTTCAACATCACTTGTCATCAGGGAAATGCAAATCAAAACTACCATGAGATACCATCTTACACCAGTGAGAATGGCACATATTAAAAAACTAGCAACAACAAATGTTGGCGAGGGTGTGGAGAAAAAGGAACTCTTCTGCACTGTTGGTGGGAGTGCAAACTGGTCCAACCACTGTGGAAAGCTGTGTGGAGATTTCTGAACCTACTAAACATAGAGCTTCCATATGATCCAGCAATTCCACTCCTAGGTATTTACCCAAAGGACACAGAAACATCAATTCCAAAGAACACCTGCACCCCTATGTTTATAGCAGCACTGTCTACAATAGCTAAGCTTTGGAAACAACCCAAATGCCCAAAAATCGATGACTGGATCAAGAAGATGTGGTACATATATACCATGGAATATTACTCAGCATTCAAAAAAGATAACACATGCAATTTGCAGCAACATGGATGGCGCTGGAAGGGATCATGCTCAGCGAAATAAGCCAAAAAGAAAAAGAAAAATACCGGATGGTCTCACTCATAGCAGGAATCTAGAAAACTTAAATAAGGACCAGGAAAATGAATAACTATAAGAAAGTGAAAATCAAAATCAACAAAAAACTATGAACCAGAGACACTTTTGGGGGTGAGGGGCGGGAGGGGAGGGATTGGGTCAGAATGGGGGGGCTGCAATTGTATGTGGAATATAAAAATAAAATTTATTATTAAAAAAAAAAAAAAAGAAATGGTAAAAGAAAAAATTTAAAAAAAAAAAAATCAATGCTTTTAATAAAACACTTGAATATGTGCAGACAGAAAAACAGTACCGTAAAGGAAATACTGTATGTTACAGATTTGGTGCCAGGTAGGAAATACAGTGGTCAGGGATTCTTCCTGGAGAAAATGACCATGAAACTGAGGACCAGATCAGGAGCAAGACTCAGTCAGGATGGAAAAAGTGTGGAAAGGAGAGAATTCAGGGCAAGGAATAGTATTTTCAGTAAGCCCTGTTAAACATGAGATTTTTCTGACAGCATTTTGGTTTTCCCTTGGTTTCTAACCAACCTTACGTAGGCTGTACTGTATATTGGTGTGACACTATTTGTAGCTTTTTCAAGAAAGTAAGTGCATTTGAAATAGCAGGTGTCCAGTGATGATTTGTGAACCCCACTATGTAAAATTCAGCAAAATGTTTAAGAGAGAATGTCTTTGTCTTTATTAGTAGTTTCATTGAGCTTACTGGTAAGCATAACAAAGGGGGAGTAAAAACCTACAGATGTATATTTTTAAAACATAATAATTTATACATAACGGTCAGCCTGGGAAGCTGAATATTTCAAGGATTGCATCATTTCATTTTAATATAATCTTTTTCTGGAGTTTTCAAAGAAAGTACAAAACTTATCAAATGTTTAAATAGCAATTGATCAATCAATAAAATTAAAATAGCATTCCTTAGCAGAAATTTATTCGTCATGATGCATCTAAATAAACGCTGAAAAGACTAGTCACTGCACTGTCATTCACTAGTTAGAAGTTAGTGCTATCACTGAGTTTCTGACCTAAGTCGGTGTCCAGGATCTTGAGACATCTGGAGTGTGGTTTATAAAGACTCTTTTTCTAAAGACATTTTACTAAATAATACTAAAATATGGAACTCATGTTTATGGAAATAAACCATACTACATTTATAAGCAATAATTAAGATTTCTGATGAGCTTGGTTCTAGGAAGGTAGGATTATTGGTGTATTGCACTTAGATTTTACATGTCACGTGCATACTTTCTGCAGTCATTTTCTCAGCCTCTGGAAATGTACCCTTGCAGAGTAAAGATACTTATTCATGGGGAAGGTCAGCTTTATATGGGGTACATTCTTCAGCCCATTGTTCACCTTGCTGGAGGTGATTCTGCCTTGGGGAATATTAGTTCCCTGATTTCTTAGGTTTGGGTTTTTTTTTCCAAGGTAGCAGCTCACTGTCTTACCAAGCTGCTGGCACATTCCCAGGGAAGACCTTGGAGATGTGGTACAACACACTTGGGACAACTGTGCATAGTGTTAGAGCAGGAGCTAGTTTGTACTTGTGTACTCTTGTTGCCAAATATGTGTCCTTGGGCAAATCATCTCACAGTTTCCTAATCTGTAAAATTAGGATGTTAGTAGCTTCAGTGGTGTGCTAGAACCGGCACACACCTGCCACCTCATCCTAGCAAGTATGCTTTTCTCTTCAACTTTGAGCTCAATGAGCCCCTGTGGGTACCTTGAAATTTACCATACTGAGAGCTAATACTGCAAGGCAGGCACTTTGTCTGGGAGAGAAGTGAGCAAGAAAAAGGAGCCAGTTGTTAAATGTCTGCCACCACATCACTATTCAGTTTATACCTCATGGGATCTTGTGAAGATAATTAAGATAATAATACCTGGAATATGCTGAGTCAATAAGAAAAGTCTATATAGGTGCTCTGTTCCTTTATTCTTCCCCCTTTCATTTCCTCTTTTTCCCAAGACAAGTTTTTATGATTCTTTCAGACCTGTTCGCCAAGCTTTGATTTCTTGGTTGTTTGAGAGCATTTGTTACTTTATTATGATTTTTAACACTGGAAGAAAGCATGTTGATCACCTAGACAAGTTGCTGGTTTTCTGAGAGGAAGAAATTCAAGCACAGAAAGGTTGAGTGATTGATCCCAGCTTAGACAAAGCAAAAATCGATGGCTCTAAAAATCAAAATGAAGGTTGTCATTTTGACCAAGACCTGAGTTCAGGAATGTTTCAGCACCCTATACCATGCCACCAGCCTGTGCTGATAATGATTACTTAGTGACACAAAAGTATCATATTAGCATAAATATAAATAAATTAACTCCCTAAAAAAACCTTTTTACTTGTAATCTACATGCACAAATGTCATTATTTATAAAAATAACATAAAGTTTATGTTTGCATTTTTTTCACTTATCATTTACCTGCATTTAAATCAACTTGAAATATTTTATTAATGAAATAATTTTCAGCTTTCAGAAAGATTTCTTGCTTGAAGATAAAGAGCAACTTACTAACCACAGAAGAGGAGTTGATACTAAGCTCTTAATTGTACTTCCTAAAGGTAAGAATTTTTCTAAATGCTTAACCAGTGTCCTGGGCATATAGTATTGTAATAATCTGATTTTCTTTGAGGAAAACTCTCGCACTAACCTCCAGCTTGCACGCTTCTTTGTGAGTACTCATTATCTAAAACAATAATTGACCTTAATGAAAGTACCCCTCTTGCATTTTTTTATCCTCACCTTTTTTGCATGATCTTTCCTTTTCATTTTAGGAATTGTTAAGTTTTTTCTTAAGGCTGATTGGGGGAATGAGAGATGGATGATAGAATCAACCCAACCCCATTTCTCTCCTACCCTTTACCTTTCCAAGATCAGTGAATGCTACTCGTAATCAACCACTCCCACTCCTTCCAGCCTCTTGACACTTCCCAATGTTATGGCATTTACACTTAAACAGCGGGTTGCTCCCTGCTGGCTGATACATACCAGGTGCAGACTATACCTTAATCCTCTCTCCTTCTACAAGTAGGTGTTCACATGTTCAATGACTTAGTGTTTTCATTGGTACAGATGCACATGCAGTATATCACCCATGAGCCATCACCATATTCCCTTGTGTTCATCCCTCCCTATTTGGCCTCCCTCCCATCCCTTCTTTGCTGTGTGCCTCAGTTCTATGGTCAGCTTGGTAGTTTTGACTTTTTTCTTGACTTTTTGTTTGGTTTCTCTATATTCCACATATAAGTAAGACCATCCAATATTTATCTTTATCCTTCTGACTAATTTTAGCTAGCATGATCCCTTCCAGCTCCATCCATATTGCCACAAATGGCATGAGTTTGTCTTTTTTTGATGGCTGAGTAGTACTCCATTGCATAAATATACCACAACTTCTTGATACATTTGACAAAATGGAGGGTGTGTGAGAAAATTGTGTAGTAGGCAAGTCAAAACAATAAAAACAATTACCGGACATTTACATAGCAGACAGAACACTTCCAAAAACCAGTGGATATCAACAAACACTGGGAAGGGTCGGAGGTTAAAAGGAGACTGAAGGAGAAGAGCAGGATGTAGAGGGATGGTGGTGGAAAAAATAAATTCCCTAGTCTCATATCATAGACTTTGTTTTGCCCTTTGTGAATTTGGGCACATGTGTTTGGCAAGACCCTGTATTACCAGCAATCTTCTCATTTTTCGTCTTAACAGACAGATTAATGGTATTATCAAGTTTGGCAACATAATGTTAAAGGCAGTAACTGATTATACATTTAATAGCTTAGAGTTTTGTTTGTTTTCAAATTTATGGAAGTTTCTGTTCATTTAGTGAGTGATTCTTGCTTCTGGGAAATTGAATGCTTAAATGATCTATTTTTTCCCAAAGGGACTTCCATTAACTGTGGATCATGAACACATAATCGAAAGATTACCTGTATAGAGATTATACATTAGATAGTGCTAAAGACTGTGAGGTTATAGACTTAAAATAGTATAAGTTTGAATCTAGGCTTAAAAAGAGTGTGGTGATGGACCACTATGCCTGTCACTGGAATAACCTTCGTGTGACTATCTAGCAGGCAGGCTGCCTATTTGAAACCTTTCTATGGGATCAGTGGTTCTCATTCTATCACAGTACCATCCCAAAGAAGGCTTTGGAAATATATGGGAACAGTTTTGTGTCATAGCAACTGGGTATTTGGCAACTAGTATGAGAGGCAGGGCCACCCAGCATCCTGTTGTGCAGAGTGCACAACAAAACAATTTCCCACTCAAAGGCCATCAGCACCCCCAGGGTGAACTTGATCTATACCAGAACCAACATTCTGAGTCTGACCCCGATGAGGTACTCCTTGTATGTCTGATCGCTGCCCTGAGACTTCTAATCGCCAGCAGTGAATGGCTGTTAGATGACATATTCACGGTGGGTTGCCCAACTTTTTTGTCAAGAAAGAGAGGTCTCCAAGGACAGCAGGATAACTTGACTTGTCCTTGCTCTTTTCTCTCACTGCCCAGGCTTCTTGGGGTTCAATTTTTATGATGAGCTCTATGCTGACTGTCAGCCTGCTCATATTACCAATCTTTGCAGACTGTTGAAGCAGAGTGTAATGGCACTAGGGAATGTACAGTTTGTTGTGGGTAGAGTGTTTGCATAGTTTCCTAGTTGACACTTCCTTTGAGAAGTTGGGAAATACAGCATGTAAGAAAGCAACTTATTGCTTAGCTTTGTCATTGCACTGCTGGAAACCCCCTCCCCCATTTTAAAAGGACAGCTTTCTTTGGAAAAGGAGAATGAAAAAAAGAGAGGCACCTGCAGGGGTGGGCAGCTGAGCTGTCACTGCTGCTCTCTTTGCAAAGGGAAAAAAGGATTGTGAAAACAAACTCCTGCATAGTCACAGGCGGGCAGGAGAGCTCAACTGCTGGAATTTTTAAAGATGTCTTTAGTTGCATAATTTATACAAAAAATTTGAAAATTTAATGAAATGAATAGATTTCAGTCTCAAGTTAGAACCAAAAGCATATCTTAAATTTTCCCAATGGAGGTAATATGCTGCTCCGTGTGTATCACATTCATATTTTTATATTTATTCTGTTTTAGTCCATCTGGATTACTATAGAAAAATACCAGAGACTGGGCAGCCTATAAATAGCAAAAGTGGATTGCTCATAGCTGTAGTGCTGTGCCAGCTTGGTCAGGTCCTGGTGAGGATCCTCTTTGCAGCTGCAGATGGCCAAATTCTCCTCCTACTCTCACATGAGGGAAGGGGTCAAGGAGCCTTTTTTTTATATAAGGTCACTCACTAATCCCAACTATGAGAGCAAAGCCTAATCACTTCCCAAAGCTCCCCACCTTCTAGTACTATCATCTTAGGGGCTAGGATTTCACCATATGAATTTTAGGGAGAAGGCACATTCAGACCATAGCAAACCTAGTTGAAATTATTTTGGAGGAAAAAAAGCAAAAGCTTTTGGAGGCGAAAAGGTGCCATTTTACTCAGCGCCCTATTAATAAATACACTCTGTTTCTCAGTTAAGGGATTGAGGCACTGGTTTAAGACTTACCTTTCAGAGTATTCTTGGAATGTGGTTTCATTAGCTTTTTCAACAGGCCTATAAAAATTACAGCTCCTTTCTCCTGCATGGTGTTTAAATAAATTGATACTCTTTGGTTTTTATTATTCTTGAAAATATTTTCAAAATACACAATCTCCCATTAAAGTTTTATCACTATAATCTCACTAAAGCTTATTGTTAAGCTATTATTAGACAGACTTCTTCAAAAGGCAGAACAGGATGCACCTTTATTATTGTGTCCTTGACTTCTAAATAGGAACTTGGTTAACATTGCAGAGCAAACACACCTCTGCCTCCAGCTGCTTTGGATCCTTGGAGGCCAATTGGGAAAGACTTTTTTGAGGCCAACTCTTGTTAACAAAAGTCAATCCAACTAAAATTTTAAGGTAGCCATCATTTTAAAATAAAACATGACTCCTGTCTTTGAACACAATTAAAAGACAATATAAATGTGTGTGTGTTTGTGTGTGTGTGGTTTTGCCTTATTACTAAGTGTGTTCACTTTTTAAAAGAATAAAAATGGATGTTGAAGCAGCTGAAAATTGAATTTCATGTATTCATACCCTCTTCTTTGGGATGGGACTATCGGCAGCTCCCTTCCCTCTCCCACCCTTTCCGGGGTCCTCAAAAGGAGGAACTCAAATGAACCCTTATGAATTCATTTACTGAGGAGGAAGCAAGAAGAGGGGACTTTTATTCTCCACCAAATTTTTCCATTTTCCCCAACAACAGTTGTTTGGCATCTTCATAATATTCTTCTGGTCAGTATCACATGAGACCCAAATGTCAGCAAAATATTTATCTGATCAACCATCATTGCCAGAAAAGTTAGGGTTATTACTATATCCATCATCCGCTTCAGTTATTGCAAGGCGACTATTAGCATTTCCTCCCAGTTAAAGGCTGTAAGGGAAGACTTAGGAACTTTATTAATCTAAATTGTATTTAACCAAGATATGCTGCGTTAGGTACAACTGGAAACAACCAGGTAGTTGCACATACTTACAGGTAAATGACAGCATGAAATAGACAAGTGGTGTGAGTTTATGATTTTGTGGCTTGCTGCTGGGCATGTGGGGTTCATAGGGACTGGTATTTACTTTTGCAGATGTTTGTAGTTTTCCATATTGAAAAGCTTAAAATACTTTGTTAAACCTAATAAAACTTAAAAATAAATGAGATAGGCCACCTCTGACTTCTGTGGATGAAATAAAACTCACTCCTGTCACTCTGTCTCTTTACCTTCATGGTTTTACTTCTTAGCTTGACCTGCGATGTGTGCGTGTGGGAGTGAGGATGGAGGTTTATACTTATTCATTTAGCAATCTGCCTCCCCTACTGGAAGACAATCTCTAGGGAAGCCTGAACTTTGTTAGTTTTTTGTATCACTTGTGTGGGATCTAAGAACAAAAATATGAGTTCAAAAAAATATAGATGGCTGGATGGATAAATTTTGCATGAGTGAATTAAATAAATGATGACTACTAAATACTGGACTATATTTTATATATTTTATTTGCTTTAGTTGCAGAATTAAGAAAAATCTTTGAGCCAAAGAGAAAAGAATTTTTAGAAATGAAAAGGTAAGATATTTATTATAAATAATTAAGAAGTAGAAGAGCTTGGCAAAGCAGTATTCAGTTTTCTCTTAGGATTGATTCCTACTGCTCACTATGCCTTTTTTGGTGTCTTGCACAGAAAAGAAAGAATTGCCAGGCGCTTGGAAGGAATTGAAAGTGATGCCCAACCTATCCTCTTGCAGAGCTGCACAGGGTTAGTCACTCATCGCCTGCTGGAAGAAGACACTCCCAGATACATGCGAGCCACGGACCCAGCCAGCCCCCACATTGGTGAGCAAGGGTGCCCACCCGCCCCTATTCAGGCAGGCTCCTGGAGGGGCTTCTGCCTGGTCGTACTGGAAAACAATATATTCCACAAAAATGAATTATGTAGGTAAAATTATTTAATAAATACATGTATTCGTTAAAACCCTCAACACATATGTCAGTTCTGCCTTCCTCATGCCAGACTGTTCCTCTGGTATCAAGGCAGTAAAAGATGACTCCCCTTGGCACACTGCTGGGTAATTCATAACCAGTCATTTTCCCCCTTAGCCTGGGACCTCAAGTGTGGCAGGAATTGTGACTTCCTCTTCAACAGAGATTCTTAGTAGAGGTTTTGTTTGCTAAAGGGACTAAATAAGACACGTTTAAAAACAGCTCAACCAGGTAAATTTATTGATTTATTTATGTTTACATGGACCTTCCACTAATACTTTTATCCAAGCACAGAAGTTTTTGCTATTTTCAGTAGTCATCTGTAATTTTTTCCCACCACTTTCCCTATATACCCTCGCCCATTTCCCTTGACCATCCTTTTTAACCTCAGAGTCTTCAATAGTATTTGTTGATGTCCGCTGATTTTTGGAAGTGTTTTGTGTTTTCAAATTGTCTGCTATGCATTTGTCCAGTATTTGTTTTTATTGTGCTGCCTTGCTTTACTACATGCAATTTTCTCAAACTACCTCCATTTTGTCAAGAATGGCCGCATTTCACCTTTTTTATGGCTGTATGGTGCTCCATGGTGTGGCTATACCACATCTTCTTGATCCAGTTGTCCATCAGTAGACATTAGGCAGCTTTCATGTGCAGGCTGTTGTGATTAATGCTATGAACATTGTGGAACACGTGGGGTTTTGTTCGACAAAATATGAAGACATCCATGGCTTCATATTCTTTGGAGGTCTGCCCAAGAATGGGAATGGTGGGTAGTATGGTGTTTCCATTTTTGGATTCTTAAAGTAAATCCAGATGGCTTTCATAAAGGTTGCACTGGTTTACGCTCCCACCAATAGTTTTGTAACAGGGTCCTTCGGTGAATTGTCTGTTCATGTCTTCTGCCCATTTACTAATTGAGTTAATTACTTTTTTATCATTGAATTGTATGTTTTTATGCCTCATTATAAGTGGAATTATTCTTAATTTCTTTTGTTTCTTGTTTATGTGTAAAAAGACTTAGATTTTTGTATGTTGATTTTGTAATCTGCCACTTTGCTGAATTCCTCTGTTGTTTGTAATAACTTTTTGGTGGATTCTTCAGGATTTCTATATATAATATCCTACTGCCTGAAAACATTTCAGAGTCTCTTATTTGCTGTTTTTTTAACCATGTAAATTTAAAGATTGAATCAGTTTTCTAACAATTCAAGAATTGGGCAGCATCCCATCGAACAAGGAGGAAGGAGCTTTGAAGAGCTATCTAAAGTGGAGGGATTTTATAGACAGAAAGGCGGCAGAGAAAGCAAAGAAGAGGATTACTTCAGGCAAAGTCACCTTCCGATGGGAATAAAAGGGTCTATCAGACAGATTACCTTATTATTTCCTATCAAGTAATTCCAGATTATCCAGTTAAAGGTTACATTTCTGGGAGAAGTTAAAACGTAAGTTACTTAGTAAGTTTTAGTTTGGTCATATAAACCTTAGCACAAGTGATACCATTTGGGACTCACTGTCTCTCTTTTAACAGAGGTGTTCCTCTTATTATTGGTTTAAATAGAACACCCCGGTTGCCAAACGCAAGGCAGAACTGCTTTCAGTAGGGAACACTAAGGGCAAACCTAGACCTAAAATGAGTAGGGTTTTGTAATAAACACCTACTTAAATTATTTTAATGTATGTAATTTTCAGTTCATTACAAATTTATTTCATATTAAACATGTCCAAAGTGACTTAGCTAAAAAAAAAAAAAGTGACTTAGCTTTTCCTTGATCGTCAGGGGCAGCAAGTATTCACCTTGACTATGGGGAAGGATGACGCATTTAAGCCTGGTTCTTCTACCCCAGTCCCTGCCCCTATGGCTCTCTTTGCTGCTTTTTATAGCCAGTTTTTCTAGTTTCTTCCCCATAGTGGGCTGTAGATATCACTTCATGATGCAATCAACTTTCTTATCTCTGCATTTTATGATCTTCTATTGTCATTAAAGAACTAATTTTTTTAATTACACACATGGAAAGTCAAGAATAGACAAGTACCAAAATTTATATTGATAAAATTAATATATATAAATATTAATAAAATGTTATATGTTATATATTTATAATGTTAACTGATATACTTCATGATTATTTAAACATTACTCATTAGTGAGAAAAAGAAAATTTACATGATAAAATGGTTTGGGGAAATGGAAAAGCAGTGGATTGAGGGAAAAGATGTTTCCTTCTTCTCACTTCCTACCAAACACAACAATAAGGTCCAGTTAATCACATCATTGATTTAAAAAAAAAATAATAAAACATAAAAATATAGATGATTATTTCATTTAGGTTAGATGGAAAAGGACTCTCAAAGCCCAGAAAAAGCTGGAGAAATCACAAATGACCACCTCAGTTGACTTGACTGCATACCAGCATCTGTATTCCAAAGAAAATCTTATGTAAACATTGCATAAAAAATTAGGCAAGTGAGTTTGAAAATACTCTTGAATAAGAAAAAGGAAGGATATTCCTTTAAAAGTTGACACCAACCAATAAAAATGACACCGTGAAAAAGTAGACTATAGAACAGTAAACACGACCAGGTATTGCCGAGAAGGAAGGGATAGTAACGCAAATGGATAATAAATAATTTAAATACATCTACTCTCATTTTTGTCATGAGAAAATGAAATTTCTTAAAATTAAAACTGTGAGGGAGAGCACATATTGCAAATTTAAGTGTAAATTTAATTTGAGTGTAAAATTAATTTGACAATCTAGCAGTATCTTAACATGATGTGTTCTTTGGTAAAGGTACTTACTTTTTGCTGTTGTGGTGGTAATCAGAAAATCAGACTGATTTAAAGTTAGGAAAGACTTAAATATCCATCAATATGAGAAGAGTTAAGTTAATTGTGAAATTCCTGGTGGATAGAATATTAGTAAGTCTTAAAAAAAAATGCCTTCAAAATTTCCAAATATAGGGAGATGTTTTACATATAATACATTAATTAATATATAACATTATATAACTATAAGGAGAATTATTTCATGTAAAAAAAAAAGAAAAAGTTATATAAAAGAGAAGATGGAATATGCAGAAATGCTTGGCATATTAACACTTCATTGATATAGGTTAATGATTATGGTGATTTGAGCTTTTACCTCCCATGTTTTCCTGTTAGAGATAGTCTACATCAAGCATGAGTGCTCAGTTAAAAAAAGTCACTTCTGTAAAAAGGAAAAACAACCTGGTGATTATTGATATGGGTCTTTATTGTTATGGTTACTATCAGATCCTGAAACCACAATCTGTCACTTGTCAAATTACAGAAGTTTGATATCTTTTATCTTTTCCAGAGGGCTCTGAACTAGTCCTCTGACCTCACACATGAAATATTAAACTCAAAAGCAAAGAAAATAAATAGGGGAAATAAACTCTGAGCAGCAAGAATGAGGAGCTCTAGGAGTGAGGGACTGAGCTTTAGTTGAGGCTGTGGTTTTCTCAGCTTGGGGAACCTGTAGAACACTCATGCTTTGTATATTTCACCACAGATCTTCAGCACCTCAGGTAAGTCCTTGGTCACTGGCCACGTGAGAAACTGGTCCTTCCCAAGATGGGTGCTTCAGTGTGCATTGTGTGTAGGACAGAGAAGAGTGAATGTGTCTTTACTGTGTCAACATCCATGTGATCTTCTTGTAGGCCGATCAAATGAAGAGGAAGACACTTCCGATTCTTCTTTAGAGAAGCAGACTCAGTCCAAGCATTGCACAGAAACTTCAGGCATCCATGGTGACTCATCCTGTGGTTCAGGTACCATGGACACCCAGGGGCTTGAATCCAAGGCTGAAAGGATTGCGAGGTACAAAGCAGAGAGGAGACGGCAGCTGGCAGAAAAATATGGGCTCACTCTGGATTCTGAAGCTGACTCTGAATCTCCAGCTCGATATGCCAAGTCCAGGAAAGATCCCGATGCAGTAGAGAAAAGGGGAGGAAAAAGTGACAAATGGGAAGAGTCAAGCAAAGATTCGAGTTCTCCATACCCTAGGACTGAGATCATGGGGTTCAGGACCTATGTGGCTGAATCCAAGGACTATGGCCTCCACGGGAGTGATGGTGTTTCCCACACAGAGGTGCTGCTTAATGTGGAGAACCAAAGACGAGATCGAGAGCGGAGCACCCCCGAGCAAGCCCAGGATCCGCCCCCAAAGGTGGAGAGTTCGTCTTCCTTCCCACTCTCTGCAGGAGACTGCTCCTTCAGTGATGTGCCAAGGTCCCCAAAGCAAATGCCTACCATGTCCCACTCCTCTCCTCGACAGTCAAGCCTCTCTGCTGGTGACCCATCATTCCCCACTGAGGCAAGATCCAGGTAAGTGTTCAGCCTGGGCGGGCTGGTTCGCACAGGGAAGGGGCCATCTCCCCTCTGCTGTCTGGGTGCTGGAGTATGAGTGTTCTGGTCATTCAGTGCAGGGCTTGGCTCACTGGAGAAATAATATGGGATATGATTTTTACATTTCCATAATATAAAAACAGCTTCTACCAAAGCAGGAAATCTTGTATTCTTTTTGTCATGTTCATTTTTTATGTATCTTCTTTTTCAAAAATAATCAGCTGGACAGGTGTCATGGGAGATGTTCATGGAAGCCTCACTGCATGGAGGCTCACTGTAAGACCTCAAGAAAGGTCTTGACCTTTCTTCCACTGTTTCTCACCTGCCTTTAATATTTGCCTTTTTCTTTCTTGGTTTTTCTGAAATCATACCCAAGACTTAGTGGTTGCTTCTCTGAATGGAACTCACTACTTCAAGTCCTATAGCTGCTTTTTCCTAAACATCAACTATGACTTACCTAATTTCCTTCTAGTGATCTACAAAACCCTTGATCATTTTTTTTTTTTTTTTTAGCAATACCAGTACCATCCCTACTTCTCCTCCCACTTAGCAAATTATATCATTAGTGGTCACAAAATGATGATGGCCATCATGTAGAACTGATGCTGAAAGTTGACTTGATTCAGGGAGAGCTGTGACTGGTAATGATGGTTTTGGGAGAGCCCCTGTGACAGAGATCTGGGGGATTGGCTCAGAAGGCTAAATATATCAAGGCACCCTCCAAAGTGAGCCTGTTCTGCAAAACTGTAACATGAAACTATAGTCAACTCAGAAGGAAAAGGATCATGCTGTGGTTTTGTAGGTTGTTTTTTTTTTTTCTGATTGCATTTCTCACCTCCTAATGACAGGATGAGTCCTAAAAATGTCTCTAGAGCTTCAACCTCTCATGGTTTGAATTAAATGTTAACACTGATAGAAATATCTATAAGGAGTGATGCTGACTCTGCTGGACTCTCAGCATTCCTGTCTCAGCTCCTGTCTCCGTGATAGACAGGCTCTCTAGCACATGCTCCCAGTCAAGGCAGAGTGTTGTCAAAAACAAAGATCTCTGAGAATCCACACGCTAAAAATAGATACTTCTAGGTACCCCTCACAGATTCATTCTAGCATTTGGAATAGAATTGTTCTAATGTTTCAGTCCCTGAAATGCCAATCATCTGCCCTCCCTACAAGCTTTTGCCTCTTAGTTTGTGGTTAACTAATCCTCCCTGACCCCACCATTTTTTTTCATTCTGTTCTTACTGTCAAATATCAGTTTCTGTCCATTGAATTTAATATGAAGGTCACCCAAAATATTTGCTGTTATAAAAATCCAAATGCATGCGAGACTGTTAATGCATTGTTGCTTCTGTGCATGTCCTTTGCCCATTCATACTTCTTTGCACATAGGCAAAACAGTTATTAACAGTTTTCCCAAATAAGCAACTTTAAGCCAATAAAATAAAAATAATGAGATGACACCCACAGGGTAAAACTGATTTTCCTGTGCTGGATTTCACTTTACTTTGGTAGCAGGAAGCACTTGTAGTCTGTTGGCACTTAAGGGTTATGAGGAGTTAAAACATATTGTTATTGTTATATTCAGGAATAGAAACCAAGGGTAATTCCTGTCCTCTATTAAAAGGGTAAGCACTTATTTCCTGGCAATGTAATTCTCTGCCAGCCAGTTGCCATATCATAAAAAGTTCTGTTACACCCAAGGTCTCCATCTCATGGTGCACTCATCCCTAGTGGCCCTATAATCCTTTCCCAGCAGAGGAAACTCCTCACCATGGTCTCTACCTAAGACCCCACAAACCAGATTCTCTGTGTTAAATAACTTTGAATTCTTAGGACCAGAAGGAAACTTGGAGATTATTTACTTCAAAAATATTTTTTATCCATGAGAAAAAAAAAAAAAAACACCTAAAGATTGAAGAATTTAAGTAACTGGATTAAGACTGTAACTACTTTGACAAAAGTGAGTTCATTATCCATTCACCATTCACTGACTCAAGTTCCCTAAATCCATCAGAGTTCTTTCCATTTTACTTTACTCTTGCTATTTGTGTAGCTTCCATTTTCCATCATTGTGAAAGAGAGAGTTTGCTGCCTTTTTTTCCCTTTGAAGTTTAGAAATTTTAGGAAGATCGGAGGTATTATAGAAACAATATATGTGAATTTACATAAGGTATTTAAAAGCCTCATCCTCACAAACAGAAGGTATTTAAAAGCCCCATCCTCACAAACAGAATGAAATCTTGTAATCTAAGAGGATATAAACTCAGTAGGCATCTGTCTACCCATCCCTACTTCATCAGTATTTTATGGGTCAATTTCAGTTCTAAAGTAGTTTAATCATTCAAGAACACTACCTTGAGCCTTCTGTGTGCCAGACATTGTGCTACTAGATGGGTATATCATTCAAAACAAACCAAAAATTTGGGGGAAATAACTACAACACAATGGGCGGGGGAGGAGAATTTCTAGAACCTGAGGTTGGCACATGTCACAGAAATCCGAAGATAGAAGATAGTGCGTTAATTCTTCCCCCTTGGAGAAGTGGTCATAGTTGAACTGCATTCTTAAAGATGTAGTGAACTGTCAGACAAATACAGGAGCCTGGTCTAGGCATGAAGGCACAGCCATTCAATGCAGACCTCGGGAGGGGGCAGGATGAGGTGGGAGAGCCATGTGGCAACCCATCCCAGAGTGCCTATGACAAGCAATTACCTTATCCCTGTGGATGATGGGAGTTACTAGAAGAATTTTAAAAGAAGGGTGATTAGTTATGTATTTTAGAAAGATGTCAGAGAAGTTTGGAGGATCGATATGAAGTAGAAATGATTCCAGGTAGGGAGACCACTGAAGTGGTAGTTGTAGTTACCCAGATATGAGATAATGCAGTCTCTACTTCCAGGTTGGCTGTTTCATGAACTTGGACACATTTAGCATTGCATCAAATAATCTGAAAGATATCAGTGATTCAGTGATAAGATTTCTGGAGGAGGGATTGTTAATACATTTGATACATAAAGAAAGGTGAGGGAGGGATGGATGGGGAAGAGAGATGAGAGGAAAAAGGAGGACAGAGAGGGAGGGAAGGGGACAGGTGAGAGGACTAAAGCATGGAAACAGCATAAGTACCTGGAACAGTGGTTGGAAATTAGAAGATGAAATTTAATGAAGTCTATTATTTAGAGGGCAAAAAATTATTCAAGTTCAGGATAAGGGAAACTTGATTTAACAACAGTTCATGGGAAATTGACCTAGGAATTTTAGTTGACAGCAGGTTCTTTATGTGACTGCCAAGATGGCTAGTGCAAACTTGGGGTACATTAATAAAAGTGACCTGTCAATCACACAGTAGTACTGTCCATCTGTATTCTTTAGTGATCAGATTACACCTGGGTCTCTTATTTTAATTGGGCTTTTGACAAATGAGACATGTCCAGAGAGTCCATCTTCCCATCTGCCCTGCTTTCTGAACTTTCCAAGTTTTATAAACTTCTCTCTATCTTAATAGATATTGGAATCATTTTTGGACTCTGTACATTCTCTGGTGCCTAAAACTCGCACATCTGTCTGTCTGCTCATTATCAGATTGTCATTTTTCCAAAGCAGTTAAAAAGCTGAAGCTTGGTTTTACACAGAGAGCTCTATTGTTATCATTCTGCTTCTGATCAATGATTCTGCCAGAAAGGAAAAGAGAAGAAAGAGATCATTAACCAAATGAGGTATCTCACACATGCAACTTCATATGCACCTCATGTCTTAGGAAAAAGACCATTCAAATGCCCATTATTCTACAAAAGGCTGACATATCCAGAAAAGGACTGTGGCAATTGTCAGATCCCCTAAATGTGGTACCGTGAATGTGGTATTATGCTAGTCTGAAAGGTTGATAAGGATGACGTCAGTGATAGTAGTAGTGCTTTATTTAGTAGTGCTAAAGAAAGGTAGATACCTTGTCTTAGTCATTTTCTTACCTCTTCCCTGCTACTGCCCAGTATCAGTACATGCCCTGTGGCTCAATACATCATTTTTGAATGAATGTTCTGCTGTTTTCTACGTTTTATTAAAATATCAGCAACTATAGCAGTGTTACTTGAAATAGCCAATATGCAAACCATTTGTCAGCCCACAGCCTATAAGAGGGTTGTACACTTCCTGGTACAAACATCAGCTGATCTAGCCAGCAGGCTGTGGTGGTGCTCATTTTCATTGTGGTGTGAGCCAGGCATCTTCTCATAGCCCAGCAGCACCAATCAGAACCCATGTGGAGTAAGTATCTCATGTTTATACTAAAGGTTCTTTTCAGTCTACCTTATGTTAGAATGCCTATATATGGTCTGGGATCAGTGTGCTTGTAATTATTAAACTGTGAGTAGGAGTCATGATAACTGAGCTAAAACCACTGGTTTTTGTTATAGTCTTGTGAACTCAGCCTCTACCCCTGAAAGGGTGATTCTAGGGGAGTCTCATGCCTAAGGAGTTGAGTCCCTAGATTACTTCATTCTAGGAAGGATGAGTAGAATCTAAACAAGAGATAAGGAAATCCAAATCCAGAGGGCCTGTTCCAGCACCATTTCTCAGGCCTGTCTGTGCATGTCTTTTCCCAGCCCACTTACTTGACTGGGGTGTTTAGCACTGAGATTAGCTGAGGACAGGAAAAAAAATTTTATGTCATTTATTGACCCTGTTTTGCCCTAAGAAGACTCTGCATTTCCACTTTTTTACTACCCAAGAATTCTTCATTCTGTCTTCCAAAAGTGATATGCTTTTTAATTGAGATATAATTTCCATCAAAATGCACCTATAATAGTTAAAGGATGCAGGTTGGTGAATTTTGGGAAATGGGTGACTATTATCCTAGTTGAGATTAAAAAAAATGTTTCTGTCACCACTGTGCATCTGTCTATCAATACTTTGAATCTGACTCTGTTTGCCAGGCCCTGGCTTGGCTCACATAGCAGGACACTTCATTTATTCAGCTCATCATGTTGTATAAAACAACCCCTTCCCACAGTTAATTGTCTAAGCAAGCCTTAATTATTAAAAATTATTAAGCCAAATGTTAAAGAATACTACATGAAATAATAGTATCTGTGTGGGTTATGTACATTTGTATTTATTATAAATGGTTGGTAAAGTTTGGAGCTGGTAAACATTTCAACTATCATATAAAATTTTCATTTTTTTCTTTCTACGCTGTAAGAGAATACAGGCAAGTAGTTTGAGTAATCACTACCATTGTAATAGTAGTTACTTGGTTTTTTGAGTAGTACCCTATCTAAGTTTTAATAAGTAAATGGAGCCCAGCAAACACCCTACTAACTATGTATGATTTCCATTTTACAAATGCTGATTCAACATATTCTTAAAAAAGCTCCTCATCAAATTTTATAGTACCACTGACCAAATATTAGTCTTACTGATGAAGCTCATGTTAAGAAAGTTTCACAGCTCTTCACAGTTTACAAAACATTTTTTTATACAAAGTACTTGAGCTTTAAAATAACTGTGAGATTGGCATCTTAGAGAATGCAGATTAGTGAGTTTTCATCCTGTGTTTTGCTTTACACAGTTACCATAAAGTTTTTCTTATCTATAATTTTTCTCTAAAGTATCTTTAGCCTGGTAAAATTACTTTGTCACATTCAGTCTTTTATTGTATTTGATTGTGTGTTGAAGAATGAGGGTGTAAATCATCTATTATTTTACCTAGAAATTTGTAAGATTTTTAATGGCCAGATGATGCATGAGTCATCATGGTTACTTCTCAGAATCTAGCTTGATGCTTTCATTGTATATAGTAGGAATTGAATAAAGATTTATTGGATAAATCAGAATTAGTGTTGGTAACTGAACTGTTATGTTGATTGCATTATTCAGTGATAAAATACAAAAGGAAAATGTCTATTAACACTAAATATACAATCTTATTGAATTTCTTTTGTATATTACCTTTATTTCATATGTATTGTTTTGCATGGACACTATTTTCATACTTGGCTATTTACCAGTGTACCTTAACCAAACATATAGAAGTTAAGTTGTATATTTCTTATCAAACTTCTTATAAGAGAATTGTCTGGTATCTGTGGGCAGAATAAAACTATAACAGATGCATGGGTTTTTCAAATTACTGGAAAAACATTTTTTTAGTGAAATTTTCTTAGATATATTCATTTATTTCTGGATTTTAGTAGTGAGCCTATGTCCTGGAAATTCCATGAGTGACTAGGAACCCCTTGGCAAAATGTGCTTATATATTTTCAAAAGCCAGGATTATTCTTTACTTAACAAAAGTCAGCCTTTAGATCTTAAATTATAGTCAAGTCTGTGTATATGTTGACATTTTAATAGAAAGTATCTGAAGTTTTGTTTCTTGTACATGATAGTCCCGGGAAACCCAAACATGAGTGGTTTCTCCAGAAAGATTCCGAAGGAGACACACCTTCACTTATCAACTGGCCTTCCAGGTATAACCCAAGTTGAAATTCTGGGCTTATGTTTGTTTGGCAAGTGCTTGTACTGCCTCTACTGATCTACTTTACTGTTCCACCAAACACCCAATGCTAACTTTCCTCTTTGTAATGGCAATGTGTTTGAAAACCATGTATTCAAAATAGACTGTTGGAAGTTAATTTCTAATCATTTCTTTTCTTCTACAATTGCCCTAATCCCTGCTAATATAATAGTATCTCATCTTCCACCCTTTATTTCCTCTTTTTGATAATCCTTACTTCACCTACTTTTTTCTTTCTCGCCAACTCACATGCTACCAGAGGGGGGCCAGGAGGACCTAAGGATGAGGGCACTTCTGGTTGCTCTGGAGTCTCACTAACCCAACTTGTCAGCACTCCACACCCCCCCCTCGGCCCAGCTCTTCCAGCCTCTTTGTTTTCATGTCTTTTCATTTCTAAACCAGAAGTTAATTCTCAACAGTTAGATTCAGGGCATGTGGTTTTAAAAGTAGACAAAAACCCCTGTCATTTCATTTTTAAGGTTGGGGGCAGGGAGAGGCGGAAGGACTAAGAATGAGTAAGTCATTGGCAGGACAAAGCATTCATATATTGAGTTTCTAACAGTCACTTTGTTCTCCACTGAGGACAACATTGTCTCTGATTAGAAAGACACATTCCACAGGAGAACTTGAACCACTTTTCAGTCTTTTTTTGATTAACAAAGCGTATAAATATGAAAACTTCCAACACTGACTAGTCTGTAGGGAAAATAACTCAAGATGCTTTTTTCTCCTTGAATTGTTCATGGGAACTGCCCTTTAGACATCTTTGATTTTTCTTTAATGAAATGTACATAGATATCCTATAACTTATGTTGATAAACATGTAGGAGTTTATATAAAATTTAGCAGACTTTTTTTCCAGGTTGTATTTGTCATTTAAGGAAATACTCTTTTCAAAAATATATATATTTATATATGTGTATACATATGTATAAAATTATTTCTGCTGATTGATTTTAAATAAATGAAGGTTTAACATTTCCCAAGAAATAACTTTTTCTGCTCCAAAAGCATTCTTTACATTGTAGAAATTAACCCCAAAAAGTAATACAGTCTTCATTTTCCCTTTTCTATCTACATAGTTCAAAAAAAGTAAAACTAAGAACTTGTTAGCATTAGTAAAGGTTACTCTTTGCAAGCCCTAAGCTATGTGTTTTGCAAATATTACATAACATTTGGTCACCATTCTTTCCACTTAAAGGAAACAGCAAGGGAGTCAGGTGAGTTGCCTGAGACCACACAGTTAGACCTGACGGAGCCAGACATTGAACTGAGTTTCTAGGTTCTGCGGCCAGAGCTGTAGAGCCACTCTTTTTCTGCAGCAATGGAAAAAAAAAATCTGTAGCATTCAAAATGCATTTTAGTTTTGCTGTCAGATATTTAAATAGTTTAAGAAACAATCAGAACAATATCTCTTTAGATTACTTTTTAACTATAGGCATAACAGCACTTCCAAGGGGGAGAAAATGTTCTGTTCATTAAATACTTTCAACAAATTTCTCTTCTCTAATATCTTCTTGGTGCTACAATTATGAGTTGTCATGATGTCCAAATTAGCCTCTTGTTTTATGTATGAATGAATATAGTCTGCATTGCATGAAAAAGCTTGTGAATGTTTAGTTGGGTGCTTGAAAAGAGGTGATTGTTGTGTCTTGAGCTCTGTAGCAATAGTAATGATAATCATAGTCATAAATGCACTTATATTTCCAGGAAACAAGTTACATTTGGTCAGTAGGTGTACATGTGTAATTATCTCCACCATCCATACATGTAGGCCAGCTGACTCAGCACCAGCCTCCGTGTGCCCTGCTGCATGTTGGTGGTGAATATTAATGAGTTTTCCTGAAGCCTCTGGATACTCAGTTAGCCAGGAGGCATCCATTCTCTTACAGCATTGCATCAAATTCCTCTCAACTCTATAAATAGTAGAATTAGTTTTGTACCCTATTGGTATACATATGCACATCTGAAAACTCACCTCAAAATCGTTCACTTAGCAAGTGATGAGTTTCTGAGATTAAACCCCCAAATTTCTTTTATACAAGTTGTTCTCTCTGTGAGTTGGTTTCCATCCAGTAGTGTTCTATGACCCAAGCATGCTTTCTTCCTGTTTAGCAATTACTCCACATTGCAACTTAAATCCTTTTTCTTTCTTAAAGAGTTAAAGTTAGAGAAAAATTGGTGAAAGAGGAGAGTGCTCGCAGCAGTCCTGACCTTGCCCCAGAGTCCTTAACTCAGAGGAGACAGCAGCCAGTGCCAGTCCATTACCTGTCCCTTCAGTCAGAGAACTCTGCTTTCGATAGGGTGGTGAGCAAGGCAGCCAGCTCTGCACGACAGCAGATTCGGGGCTACAGTCAACCAGCAGATCCCACTCACACTGCCAAGCTGGTGACCTCAGAAACCCCAGAAAATGTATCTGAGTACAGCTGGGTGGGATCAGCCACCCAGAATGTCATAAAGCCTCCCACCCTGAAGGTTCTAGAAGGTGAGAGAAGGGATACCCCAGTTCTCCTTAGTAGTGAATCCAAAACAGATGAAGATGTGTCCTTGACCGAAGCTCTTGAGAAAAGCAGGAAAACACTGTCGTCTTCGGAGACTCATGGATTATCAAGAAGCCACCAAGACCCTTCTGGAAATGAGAACTTTGGTAAGCCCACTGTTAGCACAGTCACCTTAAAACAGCAGAAGGAAGCAGAGAGTCTGTCACAAGCTCAGCACCAGCCATCTGAGAGAACGGGAAGGAGTGAAATGGTTTTGTATGTTCAGGATGAGCCTGTGTCCCAGGATGCCAGGGTGACAGGTCACAAAAAGGAAACAACTACGAAGAAGCAGAAGGTTCTCGTGCGATCCCTGTCTGACTACACAGGCCCCCCTCAGCTCCAGGCCCTGGACTGTAAGGAGCCAGCTTCTACTCAGGAGCCGCAGCGTTCCCAAGCTGAGGAGCCCCATATGGAGTTTGGCATGCTGGACACCAGGGTCTCTGTTGCCCAGCTCCGACATGCATTTCTGGAGTCTGCCACTTCTAGCAAGAAACCTAAACTGTAGGTGATGTTTCAAACGTCTTTCAGATATGTCACTTGCACGTCCTTGGCAGAATTATTCACTTCTCAACTTGTGTGGTGTCCTGCATTGAGTCATAGTTAAGCTTAGCTCACAAGTGTGCAGGGCAGACCATCCAGGAAATGGCTCAAAAACTACCATTCTGCTTCTGCCTACTAATGGGGAGTAGAGGATTGGGGCTCTGGAATGTTCCACCTCCTTTACGTGCATGGTAGAGGCATGCAGTGGGATTTGGCAGTGACAGTGTCTGTGCCTTGACTCACTGAGATGCATAAACTTTGCTTTGTTCTTTTTCTGTCTCCCTGTCTTCCCTTCTGTATATACTCTACCTATGACTCTAAAAGCCAATCACGGTTTGAGAGGTCAACTGAAGGAGTTGGCTTGACTGCCAGTGTGGAACAGGAGAGAGGGCCCCGGAAACCGAGACGCTATTTTTCTCCTGGTGAAAGTAGGAAAACTTCTGAGAGATTTAGAACTCAACCTATAACCTCAGCAGAACGAAAGGAATCGGATAGGTAGGCGTGTGTACGTGTAGTTCCATGGTCTAGGAACTGAAAAGAAATCATACGGGATTTTTACAACAATGATGGTTTTGATGCTAATTAAACGGAATGTAGTTATTCCACAATTCTTTATTCTAATCTGTAAGGGATCATTACTTGGCTGGTATTAATGTATTCTTAAAGACCCTTGACCATTACAACAGATGATGCAGGTTTAAAATGTACTAAGAAGGTAAGAAGAAGAAAACATTATTTGTCTTTATTTGAAGTTTTAGTGTTTTATTCCCATGTTAAATCAGAATCTAAATTGAGTATGCACCAGATTTTACAGTGAAAATAAGGGATTTTATATTCATTTTATAGGTTGCTTGTTGTATTTGAGTTTTATATTATCAGATTGATGCACAGAAATAATAAGGCTCATCTAAAAAATTATCACTATTGTTTAAAAAGTTATACTTGACCCTGGTTTTTCCTCAAGGGGTGTGTACTTGGTTGGGTTGTGTGCACACTTAATCCACAGTGTCCACTAACAACTGTACATGCACAGTCACAACTAGAATCACTACCAGGATGATGTTCTTTGAAGAGAATATAATGTTTTTTAATTTTACCTTAAATATTGTGTTCTGTTTGAATCTTCTCCCACCAGCTAATTTTTTGTTGTTATTATTTGGTATTGTGTTTTGCAGGTCTACTTCAAAATCAGAAATGCCAATGACTGAAGGCAAGTAATTTTCCTTTTTCTTCTTTGTCATCTCACCCACCTCAGATTTAAATAATATGATGTTTGCTTTTTGAGAGAATGAGATTATGGCGCATGACACTTTCTTTCTTTTCTGCAGCTTTTCTGCAACTTTTTTGTCTGTGACTATAATAAAATCTAGGTGAAATTTTTCAGATGTGTGTTTGCTTAGTTTTGAGAGTTAAGGAATTGGAGTGAACAATATGAAAACAATTGATTTAAACCAAATAAGCAGGTTTTTCTTGTTACTGCTGCTATTTAACAACAGTAAAGAATTCTCTTCCATAAATTCTATTCTTAAATCTCAAATTTTCAAATATTATGGTAGAAAATTACTGATAAGACAGATTTGTTTGGTTAATTGCAATGGAAATCAGCACCTTTTCATTGAAAAGTTGAGCCAAAGGGAAAAATATTGCCAATTTTGTAATTTTATTACTTCTAATTTGTAATTCTTAATATATCTATTTTGTAATTTTTACTGCATCTATTTATTTAGTGTAATAAAATATTGCCAATATTGTAATATTTAGTATAGCCTTCAGATATTCAAAGGTTTTCCAGGTCTGCCTTGGGATACTTTTCAGAGACTTAACCTACATTTTCTTATAATGTTCCGTTCTGATTTTGTGACTTTTCACAGATGAAGAAAAGGTGGATGAACGAGCCAAGCTAAGTGTTGCTGCCAAAAGGCTGCTGTTCAGGGTAAGGTGTGCTGAGGGCCCTGTGGAGAATTCTTGGGGCAGGGGTCCCACTGTTCTGCATGCTTCCTGTACCTGACCCTCTGCCCACCACCTTCCTTGGGCCTTCCTGGGCTTCTCTGTGCCCTTAGCTGGTGTGACAATAGCTGACACAGCACGAGTATGCACTTCTGATAGTGACACATGCCTCTCAGGGGCCTGCTGGGGGGAACAGAAAGGATATTTGCTGCCCCCATTTCCCTTCCTCAAATTTATAAGGATTCTACAATACATCTCATTTTAGGAATTGGAAAAGTCCTTTGATGAGAAAAATGTTCCCAAGCGACGCTCAAGAAATGCGGCTGTGGAGCAAAGGCTTCGCCGCCTGCAGGACAGATCCCACACCCAGCCTGTCACCACCGAGGAGGTGGTCATCGCCGCCACGTAAGTCTCCCTCCTGGCCTCCCGGCCATGGCTGTAATGTTGTTTTTAAAAAAGATTTGAGGACTTCTCTAAGTAAAAATGAGGTGATCGGGAGATTGTTTAATTGGAAGCCACAGAGAAGTTGATATTTAGGGATTTTTCTTAAAATTTCTCTGAACTTTGCAACGAGAGATACCTAGGTATCTCCTAAAGAGGAATTTTGTTTAATTATTTTTCCCCTGTGCCTTTTTAAAGTATTCCTTGTGATGTGAAATTTAAAACATGAAAGAAGAGGGATTAATTTTGCGAATCCCATATAATCACACCCACTGTCAACCACCATCGACTCAGGCCAGTGCTGCTCCCCAGCTGCCCTGCCCCTTCCCTGTTTATCCCACATTATTTTCAAACAAAACCCAGATATCGTTTCATCCATAAATATTTTTACATATATATGTATCTCAAAAAGGTGTTATATTTTTTTTTTTTGTCACCAAGGAAAATTTTTTGGCTAATTACAAGTTTGATGGTTTTCCAAACTACAGGAAATCAATTTTGAACAGTATGTGCCAGTATGTTCAAAATGAATTTCCCAAAGTAATTCATTCAAAGATAATGAATTTCATCAGGTGAAGACTAATATGAGTTCTTTGAACATTGTTTTTGTGCTTCCCAGGGACACAGACACACACACATCCTGGAAAAAATAAGTTCATCTCATCCAGGATTATTGATTCCTAAGAGGCTTTATATTTTGGCCTGCACCTTTGAGCGTACTGTTAGATCATTGCCTTCAATTCCTTCTCTAGTTGTTCTCAACTTCTTGGTGATTGTGGATAAGCACATCTTGTATTCGTTAAGAACACTTAGTAAATCAGTTTGCTTGTTTTTTGCTTTTTGAATACAAGGCAGCTACCCTGGGACCAAAATTGTAAATAATCAAAAATGACCACTTTATAAACCTCACTAAATCCACTCTGAAATACTTAGAAATTATATAGAGGACACTGATTTATTAAAAAAATAAAAAGATTGAGAACAACACTGTATAGTGTGGGCCTAATCTACTGATTTGCTGATTCTTGATGTTAGCTTTTTTGAGAATTATTTTTATAAACTAGGCATTTATTCTGAAGACAGAAATTCCTTTCCAAGCGCAAAACCTATTCTTACCCCGTTTACTTTGGGATAAGCCTCTGTCTCTTCTTTCCTAAGTTTGTAATTACTTTTCAAGTTCTTTTTGTGATGTTCCCAAAGTAATTAGCAAACAGTTTTGTTAAAATATTTTGATTTAACATTTTTGAACTGAAAATTTTGCTTTCCTTAATGCTTCTTTTCTTCTCTCTCCTTATGAATGTTCCTTCTTTGGCAATTGCTTTTAAAGTGAACCTATCCCTGCTTCGTGCTCTGTGGCCACCCACCCTGTAATGGCAAGACTTCCCTGTCCCACTATAGCTAAGAGCACTGTGCAGCCTGCCAGGTACCGTTAAGAACAGCTGCATGCAGCACCGAGAGCAAAGGCTCTAGAAGGCAGATGCGTCTTAAAATCTTGAATGCCTTTCTCGTTTGTTTGATAACAAGTCGGTGCAATGAGTTGTTCCGGGAATGCATGGCATTTTGTTTTATCACTGATAACTTCATAGGGGCCTGCATGAGAAAATACTTCACCCACCTACTTACTGAGTATTGCCACTGGGATCACACTAACTCACTTATCCATTTGTTTTGCTATTGTCTTTCATAATCATGACATCCCAGAGTAATTTCATTCTTCATCTAAAATATTAGCACTTAATAAAGACTAATAGAAAAATGGGCATTAACATGAATGTTGAAATTCTGATATGTACAGTTTTTAAAAAATTCTTGTAAGCACAAATACATGTTAAAAACAATCCCATTTCTAATGGTTAGTGAGACAATGCCATTTTATTTTTGGATTGGGACAACAGGACTTTATAGTACCTGAGCTTAGGTATTTTACTGTTGTGTCTTAAAATTATGACCTTAAAGCATGTAAATTGTTTCTCTATTTTATCGATATGGGTCAAAGCACAAAGTCTAAAAATAAGATGAAAAGAAATGACAGTGAATAAATAAAGCTGACACAGCCCACAGCAGGGACCTCTTTGGGGGAAGTAGGTTGCCATTACTCCCAGTTGGTCATGAAAGCTCAGGAAAGCCACCAAGACTCAGGTTGCTTTACTGCCATCCTCATTATACCCTGCAACACTGACACGGCTCTTTCATCTGCAACAACTTGTAAATTGGTGATTAGTTGGAGTCAAGGCAAAATCTACCTTTTACTGGACTTGAGAACTGGATTTGCCACTGTTAGAAGGTACATTGTCTTGACCCTTCCAGAATTCACAGTAGCCATCTAACCTGAAAACTTTCATCTCTACCTGGAAATTGGAGGGATTTGTCATCACCTGACATTTCCCTCATATTTTTACAAGTCACTGGGAGTTATAAATTTAAGTACCTTTTCAAAAACTGACAGAAGCCTATGAGAAAACACTAGCCTGAAGAAGTGAAAGAATCTCTAAAATTAAACCCACTTGTATTTAATAAGTAAAAATCAAAACTGTTTTGGGAGAATGTTTTGACAGACTGACTATATTATTTTCTAGGTATTTAAAATAAAAAGGCCACCTTCTGAGTCACATTTTCAGTTAATGTCTAAATAAATCATAGGTAATGCTTTAGTCTTACTGATTATTGATATTAGCAAGACAACTTCTCTCCCTAAGATAAGCTATATCCGAGCCAACTTCAATTTCTTAAACAGAATATACAATTTTTAGAAATAATTCAGAGCTAAAAATCTCTTTGTGAAATTGGTAAAATTAGTGTCTCCAGTCTACTCTGCCCTTCACTGCCTTATTTAATAACAAGCAACTACTACACCTGTCTTAAATGTAAGGGGGAAAGGTACTTATCAGAAGTGACACTTGGAAAAAAATGTCTAAAACCAGTGGTGGGCTTTTGTTTGTTTTTATCTGCCACTGACTTTATAAACCTTTCAGATTACAGGCATCTGCTCATCAAAAGGCTTTAGCCAGAGAGCAGGCAAACGAGGGCAGAGACTCTGCTGAACAAGGTGAACCTGATTCCTCAACTCTAAGCCTAGCAGAGAAGTTGGCCTTGTTTAACAAATTGTCCCAGCCAGTCTCAAAAGCTATTTCTACCCGAAACAGAATAGACGTGAGGCAGAGGAGAATGAATGCACGCTATCAAACTCAGCCGGTCACGCTGGTAGAGGTGGAACAGGTGGGTGCACTGTAATCTGATTTGAGTGTACATGGATGTTCTTAAAATGTGGAAGCATAGTGTTATGCTTAGATTAATGATAAAATTAAAGTGATCCACCTATGAACTCTTCCCTGTACTTGATTTGGTAATAACTTGATTCCATAGAAAGATTACCAAACCAAGTATGTGTCTCTTTTCTTGTTTTCATAATTTGCTTGCTAAAATCATCTGGAGCGAGTCCATTTTGTAAGAAAACTTGTATACACTACCAGCTTTTTGCCCAGATGACTCTGAATAATAAGATGCATTATGTAACTATGTCTAAGATTGATTCCCTGATGAGCAGTGAAATTGCACCAAACGTAGTATTTCCATCTGTCAGTTCATAAGCCAAGAATTATATAGGCAGTGTTTCTATATCAGTTTTTTACTATGTTTAACTGTGTCCTCCCAGGTGCAGAGTGGGAAGCTCATCCCTTTCTCACCTACTGTGAACACATCTGTGTCCACCATAGCATCAACAGCTACTCCGATGTATGCAGGGGATCTTCGGACAAAGCACTCTATGGATGACCAAACAAGTTCCACTGACTATAAGTTTCCTTCTTCGACAGAAAATTCAGATACTCCAGTTCGAGTTGCTCAGAAATCCCAGGCCCGGCAGCCTTCTGTAGAGTGTACTGGGAGCAAAGGGATGTTGAGAGAATTTGGAGAGACAGAAAGCAAGAGAGTGTGGTCTGGTGGAGATGGAGGTGTGCAAAAGTACGGGTCCTTTGAGGACACAGAGTCCTCTCACATTGTCTTCAACAGAGTTCAGGAAGGAGACAGTCAGAAAGAACCTAGACATGCTGCTCTCCGAAAGGGAAGCCTAGAGTTGGCTGGTCCTCCCATTGCCAATGTTGCTGATGAACTGAAGGAATTTTCCACTGCTAAAAGCATTTCCCAAGGGAATCTAGACCTGAAGGACAGACAGCCCTTTGAAGAGAAGGCAGACATGGAGAGTATCTCACACAGGAGGTTTTCGCTAAGAGGTGAGTTAATACTGCTACTAAAGTGTGAGAAAAAACTGGGTTTTTAGTAGCAGCTTGATTGACTGTATGTGTTTGTGAATGTTTTCATCTAAATTATGAAGACTGTTTATAGCTAGCGTTAATTGAAAGTACATTATGGGTCCTGCTCTCCCCCAGACTTTTCTTCCTCTTAAATCTGAATTGTACAGTAGGTTAACACATTTTTTTCAGCAATAAAAATACAGGAAAATCTTTCACACATCTTGATAAGGTTTTTGATGACTTCGGTGCATTAGCTCTCACAAAGGCTTGTAAACTGCCAGCTCGGTTTGGCCCTTTTGCAAGCCCATGACCTCAAAGGTCCAGACCTCAAAGGTCTGGGTAAAGCCCAGTAAATAAGCACTTGAACCCTGGTCTCTAGATTGCCAGACTCCTTACATTCCTCTTATGCAGACTAGCAAGGGCTTCTCTTCCTACACTTACATAAATGATGGTGTGTAAGTTATAATATTGGTTTTAGTTTGTGAATCTGGCACATTTAAAATGTAACAGTATTGGGCCTCCCCGGTGGCGCAGCGGTTGAGCACTGGGTTGCGAAGCTGCCCGCGGCCTCTGCGGTGCCGGTTCGATCCCCGGCTGCTCCCCGGCCACCAGAGGAGGGTCCCACACGGCGCGCAGACCTCTCCTGCTGCCCGCTGCTCCCCCCAGCAGTGTACTTCGGTCCTTCTGCCTGCTCTGCTCCCCGCTCTGGCTCTGGTGAATTCTCTCACCCTCCCGCGCTTCTGACTGTACCCAGTGCTTGTATAAACAAAACAAACAAACAAACAAATAAATAAAAACATGCCTCTATAAAAAAAAAAATGTAACAGTATTGTTTTAGAGAAGTAGAAACCTTCAGTAGTATGTAGTTAAAGCTAGCTTCCTGTGTCTTGCTCTTAGGAAAAGATTAATTGTCCCAAAATAACTTGCTGTGTGGAGCAACCCACTGGGAAATTTGGTTTTCTCACATGACAGTGATTTGCATAAATCTGAGTGGATTGGGTAGCCCGCCATGTGTCCCCCTCCCCCAGATTGAACTCCAAGTGCAGGACTGTTGGGGTGGGGGTGAGTAGCTGGAAGAATGTTGCCTGGAGGAGTATGTGCTGACCTTGCTCCTTTCCTTTCCAGCAGCAGAGTTTGGGGATCCTACTTATGAGCAGACAGACACAGCTTCTGGGAAAAGTGTAGTTCAAACCACAACATCCGTGTCCTGGAAGCAGCAAGATCCTTCAGAACAAGCACAGGAGAAACCCTATAAGAATCCATGTGCAATGTTTGCTGCCGGAGAGATCAAAGCATCAGCCATGGAAGGCATCCTTGATTCACCCAGCAAAACCATGTCAATTAAAGAAAGGTAATAAAATTTAATGATTCAAAAGTAATAAAATTAGGGGGAAGTTTATGCTTCTCTTTTAAAAATAATCTGAGTAATAGACCAAAAAGAAAAAAAAAAAGAAGAATTCAACTCCCTAAGGAGATGTGCTGTTATACTAGAGGTATTGTGGGAAGTTAAGGCATCTGAGTGTGACCTGATTTTCACCCCAGTGCTTGGTTTGGTGACAGTGGAGAAGTGCCCATTCCAGATTCAGATGAAGAAACAAGCATAGACTTTAACTTGTCTCATCTGTTTGCAGTTCCATTTTCTTTTTTATATTAAATTCTTTGATTATCCAATGATGTGAGCAGAGGTTTTAGCTCCTTCCCTTTCAGATACACATGGTTTCAAAGAGAATGCATACACTGCTTGTGACTCTTTATCAGTGTAAAATATATATAGAAGGAATGCAGATAAATTCATAGTTATGCTATGAATCTTTGGGATTAGAATTTTTAAGTTTTGTTTATTTTATGGAAAATAAAATGGATGACTGAATTGCATTTAGAAAGTTTACTACTGGGTAGTAGCTGTGAAAGATCACATCTGAGTGTCAAATAACACTCTACCCTCATTTTATCCAAAACGATGAAGGATTGAGAGGATATGTTTAAATGGGATAGATACGAAGAATCAGAGCTAAACATTTCAGGTTGTATTTTCCTTGTTAACCTTCCTCCCTTTGAATTAAGTAGCAAAAAATGTAATAATTATAGGAAGATTGGGTGAGAAAGGTCTCATTGACTTCGTGGTATGCTTGAAAATATTTCCACCATTCATTCTGTGTGTTTTTGTCCACCTGGATTCTTCTTGGGCATCTGCACTACTTAAAAGTTTTATTCTGGGGGCCTCCCTGGTGGCACAGGAGGTTGAACACAGCGCTATGAAGCTGTCTGCAGCCTCTGCAGTGCCGGTTCGCTCCCCACCAGCTGCAGAGATACTCACATGGCGCAGCAGACCTCTCCTGTATCGCCCGCTGCTCCCCTCAGCAGTGTATTTCAATCAGTCTGCCTGTTCTGTTCCCTTTTCTGTCTCTGGTGAATCCTTTCACCCTCCCACACATCTGGCCTGTACCCTGGTTCTTGTATAAATAAAACAAATCTTAAAAAAAAAAAGTTTTACTCTGGAAGATCCTGGCCATTCTTACTGTTCTGGACACGTTTAACTACCTGAGACTATTTATAAAGCCTCAATGAAAATTCTTCATTCTGCTTTTCAAATCAAGCTTTTGCATATTATTCATAAAATACTAAATAGATGGGGACTTTTTCAACTGAAAAATTAGTAAGATCATTAAATCTTAGTTTCTTTTGCCCTACTTAAATTTCACGATAAATTAGATATGCTGGATGAGGCAAAGGTAGAGGAATCCTAGGCAGAAGCTAGAGGACACAGTGAGGTCTTGAATCAGAGAAACACTCTGCTCCTGGTGGAAACCTGGGGCAGAGTTTGTTTTCAGAGACTATTGATGCCTGGTTAGGTGAGAAGGAAGAGATACCATTTACGTAAATTAATGATAAGTGTGACTTGCACACCAGGTCTGATTTTTTTTTTGTACATCAAAAATATTCCTGGGATAAAATTCCCTGGAGAATATATACCCTCCCCTTTTTTAGGGACTTTCAAAGGAGATTCCCCAACTTTGGATATATTCTATCTATTGGGACTCATGACTTTTATAAAGTTTTCTATTTATCCACTGTGTAATAATTCTTTATTTTCCCATTTTTGGAAAATTTTAGTTTATCTGTATCTCTTTGAAAGCAGTTTTAGTCCTACTGTAGAATCCTCACTTTTGAAGGTGGGAGATACTGTAATCGTACAGGTTTTTATCGTGAGCTGTTTGCGTATCTGTCTGAGGAATTCAAGATGGCTGTACGGTTTCTGGGAACGGCTGCAAGAGTGTTCCCAGTCACATGTGCACATTTGCGCCTTCTGGCTAGGAGGAGACAGAGCTGCTCACTGTCTGAGAGACTGCTGACCCTGGGAGTGAGGAATGCTTGTTAAATAGTCAGCTATTCAGCTTGTTAAAGTACAAGTTTAAGAAAAGTTGAGGGATACTTTAGAGTTCTATTTATAAAAAATTATGTTAAGGATAAAACATATTGCCAGCCATCTCTCCCCCTTAATAGTACTTTCATTGTTATTTGCTGAAAATAACAAAACTACCTATCTCTACAATACATCTGTGATAAATTTTTTCTTAGTGGATCTCATTTTTTCTTAGGGATCTTAGTGGATCCCTCCCTCTGTTCTAATAAAATAATGAAGTTTGACCTATTTAAAATAGAAATGCTCTTTCATATATTCATTTGGGCTATACTTTTTTTGGGGGGGGTCACAAATAAAATATAACTTTTAAGTCTTATCAGACTTTTTCTTACCTCAGTTTACCAAAGGCAGGGTTTAGTTCTGATATCCCTCAGGGCCATGCTATGAAAAGAATTGACATCTACCCTGGGACTGGTCTTCCCCTAGCACTTGTGAGTGGTGTGGTGGTCACAGGTTCAAAGTAGTGTTTGAGCATCTATCATATTTGTTCTAGCTCTAAGATACTGATGGGAGGCAGAAACTCTAGCTAGGAAGCAGTAGTACACAAATTTTGCTCTCCTTCTGCATTCATTTTCTTAATTCACATGTCTCGGAGTGGCTTGTTTCAGATTTTGCTTTTACTTTCACATTTTAGATTGAGAAGGAGAGACTGGGTTTTGCAGATTACTTCATTTCTTCTACATAGCTGCCACCCTGAGGCTGTTTCTGCGTTTCTTCAACCTGTGCCTCCATCTCTGTCTTACTCAGAGCTGGAATATGTTGAGTCTTCCCCTCTGGGGACCAGAGGGTCTTGTACAGCCCTGGACATTTTGCCTGTACTATCTCATTAGTTCTGAAGACAGCTCTTAGAAAGAGGCAATGCTGTCCCCATTTTGTAGATGTAAACCAAGACACAGAAAAGTATAACAGAGAAAAGTATAACTGACTGAGAAATTAGAGGAAAGCCTCAACATATTCCTCTTTTCAAATGTTTGATGCTCAAGGAAGCATATCTAAAATTTCCTTTTCTTTTTTCATCTTTTTCTGACAACTAGAATGTCAAGATTGAACCATAAGTAGCATGAAACTTAGGATACAATTTACTTTTTTCCACCAAATTAATAAAATAATGGTTTCATAACTTTCTAAATGACTGGTTTTAAATTGTACCTGTTTAGGGACTTATTTTGAAAAGCATTGTTTATCGAATAATTTTTAATTTATTAAGGGATGAAGTCTCTCATACCTCATTAAAAGTATACCAGACTTGGGCGCTGCTCCCCTCAGCAGTGTACTTCGGTCCTTCTGCCTATTCTGTTCCCCGCTCTGGCTCTGGTGAATTCTCTCACCCTCCTGCGCTTCTGACTGTACCCAGTGCTTGTATAAATAATAAATAAATAAATCTTTAAAAAAAAAAAGTATACCAGACTTTTAGAAATCTTACTTCCACAGTTAGAGAAATAGTTGCATCTGTTCTTTCATATTTGAGGGAAAAGATTATTTTTTAAAATATTCTTTTTTTTTAAGATTTATTTATTTATTTATACAAGCACTGGGTACAGTCAGAAGCGCAGGAGAGTGAAAGGATTCACCAGAGTCAGAGCGGAGAGCAGAGCAGGGAGTCTGATGAAGTACACTGCTGAGGGGAGCAGCGGGTGGCAGGAGAGGTCTGTCCCACCATGTGGGACCCTCACCCGGTAGCCGGGGATCGAACTGGCACTGCAGAGGCTGCAGGCAGCTTCACAACCCAGCGCTCAACTGCTGCGCCACTGGGGAGGCCCAAAAGATTATTTTAAAAAGGCAAAAGAACCACAGCCTTTTACTTTGGTCAGTTGATATAAAGACTTAGTTCAACTCCTGGAATGTTGAAGAACCTACCCCCATGCCTCTTGCCAGCCTGCAGAATTGTCTTATAGGGGCTGACTGGGGTCTCCCTACATTCCAAAAAGCCCTCCTCAATCCACTCTTCTGCTCTATACACAGCCAGAGACGGTGTCCATGCTTCCCCAACAGACTCTAGGTTCTTACTTTGTGTCTGGGAGATTTCAGCCGCTAATGGTCTCCAGGTTTAATGTAATAATTAAAGATAGAGGTGTCATTTTTTTTATTTGTTTTGTTTTGTTTTTAAAGATTTATTTATGTATTCAAGAGCTGGGGGGTAGGCCAGAGGTGCAGGGCCGAGGGGGTGGGGGGGAGGAGGATTCACCAGAGACAGAGTGGGCCGCAAAACAGGCAGATCTACTGAAATACACTGCTGAGGGGAGCAGCGGGCGAGATAGGAGAGGTCTGCTGCACCATGTGGGTCACCTCCCTGGCCGACCAGGGAATTGAACTCATACTACAGTGATTGGCAATAGCTTGATTGCACTGTCTTTAACCCCTATGCCACCAGGAAGGCCCCTCATTTCTTTGTTACCTGCACTTTTGAATTTTGCTCTGTCCTCATTAATGGATAAAGAAAATGTGCTATACTCAATAGAATATTACTCAGCTATTAAAGAAATGAATCCTTGCCTTTTATAATGGCATGGATAGAACTCGAGGTGATTAGACCAGGTAAAACACTATGACCAAATGATTTCACTCATTTGTGGAATTTAAATAGCAAAAAAACCACAAAAAAAACCCAGGCCTTCCCGGTGGCGCAGCAGTTGAGCGCTGGGTTGTGAAGCTGCCCGCAGCCTCTGCAGGGCCGGTTCGATCCCCAGCTGCTCCCTGGCCACTGGAGGAGGGTCCCGCATGGCGCACAGACCTCTCCTGCCACCCACTGCTCCCCTCAGCAATGTACTAAGGTCCTTCTGCCTGCTCTGCTCCCCGCTCTGGCTCTGGTGAATTCTCTCACTTTCCCGCGCTTCTGACTGTACCCAGTGCTTGTATAAGCAAATTAATAAATCTTTAAAAAAAAAAAACCCTGGCAAAACACAAAAAATTAACTCTTGGGCTCAGTG